ATCGTGGGGCCCCCCACTCAGACACTCAGGATAAAATGGACTTTGACTGTGAGGCAATTTGCTCTGGCAGGCGGGTTCATCCTTTGTGTGTTATGTGGTGAAGAGACCAGCGATTTAGTCATTTAGAGGCAATGTGATGTGGTTGGGAAAGTACAGACTTGAGGGTCAGACTGTAGTGTGAGTCTTGGCTCCTCCACCTAGCAGCTCAGCCATTCTTGAAAGGCAACTATCCAGCTCTGAGCCTCTTCTGCAAAAGGGGCAATTACACCAACCTCGGATTGTTGTGAGGATGATTAAAGGAATTACAGTAGGGCCCCTAATGCAGTGCTGTGCATAAAACAGCATTTGAGAAATTAGGATGGTGATCCTGTTTCTTAAAATTGTTTTAGAAATCTTCTTGAGATGCAAAGGTCTTGATGATGAGAGTATTTATTGAGCACATGCTATGTGCATCAATCATCTCATTGACCCTCACTATGGTTCTAGGAGGTCATCATCCCCATTGTACCACTGAGGAAACCGGGGTCTAGAGAGGCATGGCAGCTAGTCCAAGGCCACACTACTAGCAGGTGGTAGAGATGGCACTGGGACCCAGGCAGTCTTATTCCAAAGTGGATGCCCTGAACAGCCTCAAATGTACGTGTGTAAAGTCAACATATTTTCTGTTATTAAACCTATTCCTAGTTCATGTACATCTTGGAGGCCCAAGACCCCCAAGATACTTTTCCATCAGAACAAGCCTCAGAATCATGGCCAGATGACCATAACCAGATCTTATCAGCAAGCCGTGGCCCTTACCTGGGTAACTCTGTGTGGCTCCCCACCCAGCAAGATCTGAGGTCACATGATTCATGGAGTCTATTTATTTAGTCATCTGAAGAAATCCCAGGATTCTAACTTCAACAACGTCTCAGAACTATTTCCATGCAGTTGGTTGTATATACTACCAGGTCAACACTATACGATATAGATTCAAAGAAAAGTATAAATTACTGGAAGCTAGTTGACCCCTTCAGCTCTCCAGCTGGCAGGCAAGGAGTACAGACCCAGGTGCATACAATTTTCAAATACACGTGTGGACTGACCAGGGCATAAATTATGGCAGGGACATAGGGCTCACCTTGCCCTTTAGAGCTGAAGCTTGAACGGTACCTCCTCAGTTACATAAATTACTCAAGATTATATATTTAAAAGAAAATATTTTAAAGCATCTTACATGTCTGTTAAGTTTTGCATTCCTGCCCCCCACGCCCTGCTTCTCTTCACAGAAGTAAACACTCTTAGATGCCACAGGGTATGCCGGTATTAAAACGCTGAACTAAATCCATCAGGAAACCTGGCATTAGGATCTTGGCTCAGCTGCTGATTTTCTTCATGGCTTTCTACATGTCACCTCTCCTCCATGTCTTTATCATAAAGTGGGGAGAATTATAATACATGCTTTATGTTAACCTTATGACATGGCTGAATTCTCAAGGGAGACACTAGATGTGGTACTTAGAAAAGGAATAGAACTCCATCATTTCTAGGTGCATGTCACTCCCAGGGGCACACAAGGCTACTTACTGGCTGAGTCAAAAAAAGAATATATACTTCCAAGAGACAAAGGCAATGACTACAAATACCGTTAACTAAATCTGGCCTAATCCTGACCAACATCTGAGACAGTGAATCTTAAAACCAAAAGTAAGCTGTCCATCAAATTGTCGATATGTTATAAGAAAGAAAATAACAGAAACACCTCTTTGTATTGTCATTAAAAATGACACGGACCCCAAACTCTTAAAACCTTCTCACCTGGCTCGAGCATCCTCAGCCATGCAGCATCCTTAACATATCCACTCATTTAAGTCTTCTTTCTTTAAAAGCAAACTTCACCATGGGGAAAGTGTATTCATTAGTGCTACAATCAGTGTATTCATTAGTGTTAACAGCTTTCCTTTGGTGACTTGATCAGGTGTTCAGAGCACCTAACATGCCTACAAGGACCAGTCTCTCCTGGCATAGGAAGTGAGCACCCAATAAATATGAAAACAGAGATCAATTGAACAAAGCTGAATCAATGATCAGAAGAAATAACTTTGACAGTGCTCATGTGATACCATGTTTCTCTGTGAAAGTCTAGAGCCGTGGACTAAGCTCTTTAGATTTCACACTTAATGATTAGAGCCGGAAGGATCTAGCTGGATATGGGTATTAAAATTAAGCATTTGCGACCCAACTCATACACCCATGCCATAAGAAATACCAGATTAAGAAGCAGTATTATATTAATATTATAATCCATGTAGAATGTATTTAATGTTTAAAATAGATATTTTAAAGAAAATAAATTTTAAAAATGTATCTTTTTTTCTTTCACTGGAAACTGTCATTGAAATTTTAAAAATTACAAAGCACTTAAATCTCGAGAAGAAATTTTGTTATGATTTGCTTTTAAGAGAATGCTTATTGTTGCACATTTTTATTCAAGTGTATGGTATCAGACGCACATCACTGACACCTGTCCCTTCCCCACGAGCCTTTCCCTAAGTGGCCTTCCCCAGTCGCTTGCTGAAATGACAAGAACAAATGCTAGAAGGCACCTGCCCATGCAGCGCTCTCCCCACTGTCCTCCCTATAGCAAATTCCGAACGAACGACCATTGTATGTCTAAAGGGCACAGGTGCTTTGCTGCAACTGCCTTTGAAGGTCAAAAAGGACTTTGCATAGGCCAGTTTTTTTTTTTTTAATTATAACCACATTCTTTCTGCAAAGAAAATGATCAATCTTAAAAAATTAGTTTCATAGGAATTAACAGTTAATGCACAGTTTATAAACAAGTATATAATCATGCTTTTCAAAAGGCCAACTAGTGTATGCTATTTTTTAAAAACTTACAAATATTGACGACACCTGCTGGTAGAAAATATATTTTAGTTAACTGCTCATGGAGAAGTGAGGCCTACAAGGGTCGGCTGTGTTTTTGCGCTGATAATGAAACCAGAAAACTAGCCCTCAAACTCACTTAGGTTTCTTTTTCCAACTTGCCTATTGCCATTATCAGGAAGTGGTATGTCATGTCAACGAAGCTAGAAGATGTACTGGACACCTCCGCCTCAAGGTGCATAGAGCATAAGAGATAATTCTACTTTGATTTAAACACTAAAAAAAAAATTCTCAATGGTGATACCTGAAAATATTTACCAACTATTTCCGAAATTGTTCCTCCCTGATTCTTACTCCCACCCCAGGACATCTTCACAAATGGAAAATAAGTCACATTCTATAATCTGGATCCAGCTACCATGAAGAGAATTAATATTTGACATTTGGTGATACATTTCTTTCATCACATTTGTGATATATAGATATATTTACACTCTAAGTATAAGAAAAGACTAAGCAGATGAGTTTGACCTAAGCCTTTAGCCAAACTACTCAAAAACACAAGACTAAGTGACAGCAAGAAGGGACTAGTTAGAGTCCAGAGCTATTCTCACTATTCTTTTATTTGACCTACTTCAATTTATTAATTAAACTTGGTTTTGCTTTGCGTTCTTTCAAAAGGAGTTTGAGGGGGCACTAGCTTCTCTGCTCCCACATTCATTAAATTATGAAGTTCCCACTGAAAAATCATTATATCCATTCCAAGCCTGAACAACCTGAATTCTATGCAGGTGCTGTCCTGTCAAAACTTAAGAGTCCAAACACCACTAGGGCTCTCACACTTCAACAGCTGCTGGGAACAAAAACTCTTTGTAAAAATATACAACTGAGCTGGGGTGTGGGGTGGAGGTGAGGGTGGGGGTGAGAAGTCAGCTTGCACTCAGCTTACAGAAAGCTGGTCACAACCAGATACTGTTTGGAGTTTTGTCAGCTTGGAGCGGCTCTTGTTAGAGGCAATGAATCTTTGATGCTTCTCCTCCTGAATATATAATTCATTGAGCCTAGTGCACATAGCTGAGCAGACCCAAGGGTGACGGGTGGAACCCCCAACAATGCTGTGACAAAGCCGGATGCACACCTGCCTCCAGACTTTCCTCGGTCATGGTAGGAGAGAGTGGAGATCTCCCAGACAGACATACAAATGACAATGATGAGCTGGATCCTGTGGATTCCACTATAGCTTGGCCACAGCAGAGCTGTGATCTAGTGAAAGCAACTGTATTCCCTAAGACCCTCAAAGAAAGAAAGAGACGCTTTCTCCTCCAGCTGAACCCCACCTTTAAGGCTGGTGAGATTTCTGCCAGAGATATAACACACAGGAGGAAAAGGCAGACTAAACACAAGCCAGGAAGGCTCCTTCACATCACCCTCAAGGCACAGGAAAGTTCCCAGAAAGAGAAATATTTCCAATGTTCCAAGACAGCTTCCCACCACCCGGAGGAGTTTAATTTATTTTAGGATCCATGTGGGAGATACTCAGATTACTCATTCAGCCCCCAGACCCCCAGCTGAATGATCCCCACTGGCCACAGGTGACAAGGAGAGGTGCCATGTCCTGTCTTTGCTGCCAAACAGCTGCAAGGCCAAGCCTAACAGGTGAGATGTCCTGAGGGGTCCCCAAGAACCTCCCCCAGGTCCCTCAACCCAGGAAAGGGAAAACCCACGCATAAACCATAGCTCTTCCCTTACATCGGGCCTGCTGATACAGTAGGAGAAAATCTCTCTGCCGGGTCTAGATAGAAGATGGACAGTCTGAGAGCCCTGCAGGAGGCAGGAGAGAGAGGCAGGGGCAAGAAGGCAGCTGTTCTCTGGCCGGGAGGAAGAGAAACAGGGACAGTGGAGGCGGCTCACGCTTGAGTCACAGAGAAGGAGCGAGAGGGAGACAGAGAAACCGAGACAGAGAGATGGAGACAGGGAGACAGAGACAGTGTGTGAGAGAGAAAGAGAGAAGAACACACAGAGTGAGAGATGGAAACAGAGAGACAGTGACACAGGAAGGGAGCCGAGAGAGTAAGAGATGGAGACAGACAGACAGACGGACGGACCCAGAGAAGTCCAGGTGGAGGCCCTACCTCGGCGTCCTTGGCCGGACTGCTGGCCGGGGGTACCTCCAGGCTGCAGTTCGCCCTCTTGACTGTGAGGTAGAAGGGGTAATCCTTTGCCACCATGGTGGCTGCCGGGCCTGCCCTTTGGGATGTCACCGCTGACCCGAGGCGACCACAAAACTCCCGGGCGAAAGGGGGCCCCAGCTCCACGGTGCCGGGCGGCGGCTGCGACTCGGAGACTGACAGCCGGCTTCTAGCCAGGCGGGACCCGACTTCGGCACTCCGGCTGCGCGGGGGGCGGAGCCGCGGCCGGGCCGCCCACTCGGGAGGGGCAGGGGGGCTGCAGCTCCGCCCCGACGCGTCACGGGAGCGCCCAGGTGCCGCCTGGCGGAAACCCTCTGGGGAGGCGAGGGGCGAGGGCGAGGGCGATCCCCCGCGGGACCATTCCTCCCGCGGGCCCTCGGCGACGGGGAGGCGATCGCCGGGCCGCCCGGCCCAGTGACAGCTCCACTCGGGCTCCCCGGCTCTCCCGGAGTGGAAGAGGCGGCGGGCAGGACGGAGGCTGGGGCGAAGCCGGGCGGCGAGTAGAGAGGAGGCCCGGGCGGGGGCGGCGGACTGGGGGAAAAGCGAGCGTTTTAGAAGCCCACGTTAAGAAGAGGCGGTGTTCCGTCTTGCTTTATTCCCAGGCCAGTCTCCCCTCACACTTTTTTTTTTTAATGAACGTCGTTGGAGTATAATCTACAAATATAAAATGTTCCCATTTTAAGTGTATACAGTTCGTTGAGTGCTGACAACTGTAAACACTTGTGTTGCCACCTCCACAATCGGGACACAAAACAGTTCGACCACTTCCAGAGAGTTCCGTGGAACCATTTCCCCTGCCCCCATTTTAAAATATGAAGAGGCTGGTAAGAGGCTGCCTGCCACTCAGAAGGGTAATCTGACAGGATCTGTCAAGATAAAGCTGTGCAGCGATGACCTGGCTCTACCATGCCTTTCTGGAGAAACACAATGTAAATGTCTAATAGGCAATTATAAGATCATTCGAGGCAGCCCTGTCTGGGACAGTAAAAGACAAAACAAAACTGGAAACAACCGTAATATCCATCAGTAGGGAGTGCTTAAATAAACTCTCCTCATGGAACACCATTCAGCAGTAGTCAAAATGAAGATGGGTCTATGGGTGTGGCATGGAAAGATCTCCACTGTGTCAGTTAAAAAATAATTGCGGAGTAAGCTCAGTATAATACTATTTGTGTTAAAAACACATCTACAAAAGAATTCTGTATATTTTCTATAGAGACATATGTAGGTAAATAGCCTTGAAAACCTTCTGGGATGATGCACAGCAAACTCGTACAAGTTCCCTTGGGGTTGAGGAGAGGCAATCAGTGCCAGAGGGTGCCTGGGATTAAAGGATTGAAGGTAGTGGACAAAGGAGACTTTAAATTTATAATGTTCTTAAATTTTTTACAAGAAAAATATATTCTTGGGTTACTTGGGAAACTAGAAATTAACTTCTAAAATATTAAATACAGTTTAAAGTATTGGCCAAGCTTGGTGGAGGAGTGAGGGGAAGCCCATCTCCAAGGGCACCCAACCAAAGCAGCCCCTGATTAATTCTGCAGCCAAAGCAGGGCCAGGAGGCAGTGACACGCCCCACTCAGGGCTCCCCTGGCTGCTGAGGATATGAGCTGAAGCCCCTGGAGCTGCTCCTTATTCCCTTCCACTCCCTGCTCTTCTGGCCCCCACAGGCCCACCATCACAACTAGATGACTCTGGCAAGCAACAGCCCCTTCTAGGATGGGCTTTGATCCCTGGTGGAGCTTGCTGGGCCTTGTCCTCCAGTTGGGAAGTATACTTCCAGCACTTGGTGAAGAAAAAAGCGACCCCAGCAAACTATGACAGCCCTGGGACTTGGGCTACTCACTATGGGATTCTCAGGGCTGAGCAGGAAGTCTGAAACACCATAAGTCCAGTGTGGTAGTAAATAAACCCTAAGGAAGGCAGGTGACCTCAACCTCAAGTTTAAGAACAACTATCATAGATCAAAGAATGGTCATATTATTTGATGAGAAGTCTGCCATATCTACTTTCTCTTAAAACATTTTTTTGCCCCTCTTCAAAAGATTTGGAACCATAAAAATCAATCAATACATATGGCCACATAACATATGTACAGCAAACTTAATGTCCTTTCCACTATAATTGCTAGGCAGAGAGAAATTGATTGCTAATGGCCAGTAACAATTTAAATAGTGCCGCAAAGAAAAGTATAAGCCCCAAAATGAGTGTAAAAGGAAAAATGGGAATCTAGAGTTCCCTTGGGTGGTCTGATGCTTCTAAGCTTCTCCTCGCATGACTGTCTCACCAGCAGGAATAGGATTCTGGTGTTTAAAGACATATATTTTTGGTACAATAAGGCCTGTAAACTGAAGCTGGCAATTTTGGGTATATACAAGCCATGTATGTGGTCCTTGAGACATTTAAAGGATTTTCAAGGGTATTTTTGACCCCATGCAATTTCTACCTTGTGCCCTGACTTCAAGAACCTCCCTCGCGTGTGAGGTGCTGCTCCAAAATTAGCAGATTTGGGGTTTGGGCAATCTGCCTAGGATTCAAACCAGGGGTGTCTGTAACCAAAGACTTTGTCAGAAAGCAGGCTGCTCTACTGGAGGGTTCCCAAACACACCCTTGAGGCTGGTGTCACAGTTGAGGGAAGCTGGTCCAACTGCAGTGCTGCCCAGCTGAGCTAGCCCCAGGAGCCCGGCATTCCCCATCCTGCCTGTGTGCGTGTTTATGGGTTTAGGAACAACACTGCCCTAACAGTCAGCTTCACTCAAAGCAACAGCACAAAGTGCCTTTCAGAACTCACCTTCAGCACAACCCGTTATAATCCTATAAAACTCTGCACAGCCGGGCAGTGTTCCTCGCTAGCCAGAAGCCTGGAGACTGGAATAAAGAAGTCTCTTCTGCATTTCCAGGAATGGTGCCAAGAGCAGGGCCTGCGTTCTCGCCTGGTCTGAGCGGGGCTCATTTGTGCTGCTGGTGGAGTGGGGGACCTCCACACACAAGCCCACCACTGGTTACTGGCTCCTTTTAGATGAGCAGACAGCCAGGCATGGCTGGGAGACCATCAATCAACTCCTCAAATCCCACTGCCGTGACAGTGAGCAGAACAGGCTCAGCATGAAGCTAAAACTTCAGAAGTTAAAGTGGCTGTGATAATCTTCTCATCTACTGGGACAATGCTTTGTCCTCTCAGCATTATACTTAACATCAGGGTTGGTGGCTTCTTCTTTTTCTTAAAGGTGCATTTGTTCATTTGTTCATCCACCCATTCACTCATTCACCAAATATGTGAGTGTTTGTTACAGATTAGGTGCTCAATTAGCTACATTTCTCCCCTCCTCTTCTCTACCCATTCCTGAACCTCTATGCCAGGGAGGTGTGTAATACACACCTGCTCTAGGAATATGGTTGGCTCTTACAATATGACCTTTCAACTGTAACCTCTGCAGTGAGGTGTGCATTTGCAGAAGTAGCTCAAGTGACAGTAGCCGATTCCCCAAAGCATGGCGTTCGAACACGTACACCTCCATCTGCTCCCTTAGCATCTGGAGCCATCTCTTTTACCCATGCTAATCTGACATGGTCATGTAGATACATGTTGGACACGTGTGTGCCAACACCTCTCCCCTCCCCTTCCCTTTGGGCGACATTCCCAGTTAATAACTACGCTCCCTCTCCTCTCTACAACTTCAGTCTCGATGGGAGAGGGGAGTTAAAAGCCTGAAGAAGTTCTGGCAGTGAATTCTGAGAGATCAGGACTGTGGTTTACTGTTAGGTAAAAATGGCACAAATGAAGTGCGGATAATATCTAAAATCATAGCTGTATTATTACTACCCCCTGCCTAGGGATATGTCCCTTGGCTCCAGGCTAGATTCATGAAAATACATCCCTGGATATTCTAAAGCTGTAAGACTTCATTTTTGCATTCTTTTAAAGATCTCATTTTCTGAAACAAGTCTGAAAAACCAGTTAAGTGATAGAATCTTTCTCTTTCTTCCGGGACTGAGCTAATCCTGTGGATTATTAGCTATAATGCAAAAATAATCAAGACTTTATGTTTTAAAAAAAGGAATGAATATGTGTCTTGCCCTGATATACCAAAGACAGGTGCATTCCCAGTCTCTGTTTCATTACAGCAGTGATTCTCAACTGGGGGCAATTTTGCCCCCCAGGTGACATCTGGCAATGTCTGGATACATTTTTGATAGTCACTGGGGGAGGATGCTAGTGGCATCTAATGAGTAGAGGCCCAGGATGCTGGTAAACATCCTATCATGCACAGCACAGTCCTCCAGAACAAACAATTAACAGGTCCAAAATGCCAATAATGCCACTGTTGAGAAACTCTGCATTAAAGACTGTGCAGAAATGAAATATGGCATCAGAACCAGAAGAATCTGTTGGTTTTGACCTCAAGGATATTTTCACCTTAGACCTTGATCATTGATTGATGTCAAATGTCAGTTTCGGCACGGCAAGCAAAGAAAAAGTGCTTGAGTACCAAGAAGCCTCAGGATACTGACATGCCTAGAATCCTTCCCTGATGCCCAAATCTGACCCTTAACTGAATAACAGATTTCATAAAACATGAAAAGGACAAGAAGACAAAGAAGAATATTGGAGTAAGTGGGGGACAGAAAATTGTCTTAAACGGCTTCAGATATGAAAATACACTTCAGAAGTCCAGGGAAAATGAAAGTTTCAATGAAAGATAACATTCTAAAAAGAAATTGAGGAAGGGGAAGAAACGTTTCAAAGCTTGGTCTTTCCCAGGGCAACATTTACCACCATATTTAATTGTTTTGGTGGGCAAAAATGCAAACTCAGCAATGAAATAAAAACCCCAAGGGGTTCAATTTACTGTCTTTTTGAGACATTTCTGGCTGCACAGTGTGTGTGATCAGAAACCCGTCTCCACTTGAGATTTTGCAATAAGAATCCTGACCTTCTCCAATCTGAGCTGATTACTATCAGCAGGCTTGTTTTGCTTACAGAATTTAAGCCAGCCCTTAGAACACTTTCTGTACACTACTAGAGGGTCTTTGAATTTTACGGATAGTCTGGATTTGAGAGTATTTCATATTTTTTGACCAAGAATTCAATAAATTTGTTATATTCCAAAACTATTTATTCCCCTCAGACTACAGCTAATGTGTGCGTTATGCAGGTTTCTTATTATAACCATTGCATTAGAATCTAAAATGTGT